GACGGTTAACGTTTGCGGAAGTCACGAAGGAAGAAACGAAAGAAAAAAGAAGAAAAATAGAAGAGAGAGAGAGAGAGGGGGGGGGGAGGAGAGAGAGAATAAGAAAGTGAGAGAGGAGAAGAAGAAAAGGTAAATGACTGCAAGACCAAAGATCCCGAAGACCAGTCGCGGTATCAGCGACCAAGAAAGGTAAAATCTCAGTTCGTGAGAGAGTAACGATAGAAAGATATATGATACTGTGAACTTACAAAGAGAGAAGGGAGCTATACCGTGCACTCACTATCACTCAGCAAGCAACACATTAAGCGCCAGTAGCAGTATCAGTAGCAAGAACAATAGCAATAGCAGTAGCAATAGCAGTACTAGTACCAGCACCAGTACCAGCACCAGTACCAGCACCAGTACCAGCACCAGCACTCGAACAACCACCACCGCCGACGCCACCACCACTACTAATGAAACCCACTTCCTCCGTAGCTCTGGTATCTGCTGCTGTCTGCTCGCCGTTGTAGAACAACCTCTGGCACAATGTGTCCCAGCTAGGAGACAGCCCGTTTACTGTCTCATCTCGGCACTACCACACTACTGTCGACCGGGCACACAATAAGCAACGTCAAGCGTATCGCCGCGAATTGTTATTTCGCGCACATTTAGCGCGGGCGCATTTATCGTGATATCTGGAAATCTCCCGCGGAACGGACGTGGAACGGAATTTCGCACGGCAATGTAACGAAATAATAATAGTATGATTCGTAAAAACGTTTAAGAAACGTCTGATTCTCTGCAAATCAGTTAACGCGAATGACAATGCTGATAAAGAGAGAGAGAGAGAGACTTTCGTGAAAGTCGTTCTGTAAAAGTTAATTATGCCTTTCGAGAAATGTTAACGTCAAATCTTTTCTTACACGTTAAACGGATATTTGTTATACATTCTATAGATGACGAGGAAACTGTTTGCTAAACGTGCTATTAGATTTGGTAAGAAAATCGGTGCTAATTAAAAAGATATATTTATTTTTTCTTCTTGCATTTTACAAGTTATTTTTACGCTTGGAGGCGCTATCAATACACGCAGCTTCTAATAGTTGTAATTAACAATTCTAGTAATTATCAATGCTCTTTACACATTGCGAAATAATTTCTAAGCGTATCTCTCTCACGTAAAGAGAACAAGTACCTATGAAACTCGCGTGCACGGCTACCGATTACAAACCACTACTACCGCCGTATTTACCACTACTAACTGATATTACCACTACCAGCAACGGTGTTAATTGAGGTGAAGAGGTTTTCGTTCTTGATGTTTGGCACACGAACCAACCAACCGACCGACTCGTCCACCCACTCACCTACCTATCCACGAGCCGCTGTTACAGGCGATTATTTTGCGTCAGCTTTAGGCGCTATATTTTCGAATATAATGAGCCGCCTGTCTATTCGTGCGCCGAGGGCACCACCACAGAGATGGTGTACAGGTCGATAGAGAGCATTCGTAAGATCACTGACGTCCACCACACGTACTTTCGACGTGCTATTGAGGACGGTGTCCTACTAGCGGTGCTTGCCGGCCTCATGCCTGCTTGCCTGCCTGTCTGTCTGCTCGCTTATCTGCTTGCCTAACGGAGGCGCGGATCACGGTTTCGGATGGATCGTTGAACTCACGAGCGGAAGGTGAAACACATCGAAAAAAGCAGTCTCGGCGAGAAGTATGTCACCGAGGCATCGCGGGTAACACGATGTAGCAAGTAAAAAGAGAAAGGCGGAGAGAGAGAGAGAGAGAGAGAGAGAGAGAGAGAGAGAGAGAAAGAGAGAAAAGGAGAGAAGTGTCCAAACTTGAAGTTCCTGAGGAACTTCGATCACGTGGTTTACCTTGAACTGACCAACCGCCTCAATCCACTGTCAAAGAGGATCTTTTCATAACGGAATTATTATTATATTAAACAACATAAATCTTTATTAAGATTCAATGAATTGAAATGTACAGTGAGAGCAAAAAGTATTCGTACAAGGAAATTTTTTATAAAAAAAAGTCTTACTTATATAAAATAAACATTAATTAGCAATTTTATGCAATGAATACATTCTGTTCTAACATAAACAAATGAGCTTCGCATGTATTCCTGATTTTAGAAGAAATTTCTCGACTGTACGAATACTTTTTGAGCATCCAAACAATACAATTTTTAATTTTCACTTATTTTTCAGATAATATATTTTCTATAATTAATACACATCTTTTTGATATATATAATTTTAAGAAACATACAGTCGATTTTATTCTTTGGATAAATTGTTAATTACCCAACAAGAAATGATCGCCGTAATTAAACATCGAATCGACGTCAAATTAATGTTGAAATCATCATATCGATATCGATTCGACATCAGTTCGATGATTCATTTCTCGCTGGATAATATTTACTTTTTAAAAATGAAGTTTTTTTAAAAAACATTTTCTCCGTTCAAATACTTTTTGCACTCACTGTAACTAAATGAATGCTAAAAACATGTAAAAAATCAAAAGATTTCAATATCAAACATTTACTTATTTTGGAATAAAATACATTTTTCAACAAGCAATAAAATGGTGATATATATCGAGATAAACACTGGTTTTCAGACTAACGTGTGCGACAAATACATGATGTTATATAAATATATATTATGCAAAATGAAAAGGTGAATATCAGTTGTTCTTACAACATCGATTTATTGACCGTAATTAATGTTTATGAAAAAATGTAATGTTGAAGATATTAAAAATTAATTAGCACGCACAACTTTTCCTCTTAAAATAATTATGATTATTTTCAGAACTTTTCGTCTTCTCTATAAAGTATTATTGTGTGCATATGCGGGTGTGTGATAAATTATATGATATAACGATTATATATTTTAGAAAACTGTTAACTTTATTTTCTCTGATGCAATATTAAATATTACATTATATTCAAAATTTAGAAAATCTCTTCCACAGCAAAATAAAATACTTTTAAAAAATAATTATTACATCGCAATAATAGAAACAAATGTGTCCTAAAAAATGCAAATATACTGCAAAGAAAATAAAGTTTGATCCAGTCGAGAACTCAGTGTTAACGTTTTTTTTTATACTTGCTAGAGTTTTATAATAAACGCTTGTATAAAACTATATTTTACTTCCTGGGAATATGACAACATGTTGGAATATATCGGGAGGGATAATTTTCCACAATTGGATCAAAACAACAATGTCATTATAATTACAAGTCTGATACCGGTGGTAAGGTATCGACAAGATGCCGCCACAGTTATTAATGAATCATTAATTTTAAGTTGTATAGGGCAATGACATAAACTTATCCGCAGTGTCTTACGAACCTTTATATATTGAACCACGTTTATATATTGTTGTGTTAGTTATTTTTACAGATACACGAAAACGTACAAATCATAGTTACATGATTCATGACATTTGCTATGAAAGTAAACATATAAGTTTTTTATATAAAATCATATTCATAAAGATTTATGTGCAGAAAGTAGGACAAAGTTTAGAAAAAAACATTTTTATTTTTAAAAGATATAATTATTTTCAAAAAAGGACACTTTCATATTCCAATGTCATACATTATTTCAAATACAGATTATTTTTTCAATAAATATGAGAATCTATTACGTTTGGTTGTAGAAATGCAGATACTGCCTCTCAATTTCTTATTGTATACTATAAGTGGTTTATGGCGACCAATCAAGTGGTCTTCAAAATGCTCCAAGTTATTGTATAGTATGTTCACCTTTTCAACGATATATCTATTGTCATATTTGATGCTGACGCACTTGTTGTATATCATCTTTGTTATCGATAACGTGGAAGACTTTGCATCAACTTCCCCATTTTTCTTCTCAACAATCAGCTTAATGTTCAAAGCGATTACTGCTGTTATCTATCGCGATCGAATTGTCAATACAGTTGAAATTCTGCAAAAAGAACCATGCAAAGCCTGTGATCAAGATGAGACTAATATCCAGATGAAATTCGATCATACAATCAGGTTGGTATACATATATCAATTAATAATTATCAGTGTGACTTTCGACAATATCAATAAATAAATTAATAAATATGTGATGATACACACACAAAGTTAGTAAAATTTTATACACGAATAAATAAGTAAAATTGAAGAATCTTGATACAAATTAAATTAAATTCATTTTTCTGACATACACAACAAATGAAATACAACTAATTAAATTAATTTTTCTGAACTTAAAACAAATGAACTAAATCATTATTACACAATTACAAACGTATCGCATATACACGTTTTGGGTATTCGTGCCTTTCACCGTTATGATAAAGCTGCGTTCGGAAATATTACCAGAGTGCCCCCACATATCACAATTTTATCCTCGTTGCTCACTCAATATTAAACAAGGATAATATGATATACGCACGGATAACGTTTTCGAACGCAGCCTAACAGAGTTTGATGTTCATGTTCCTCTCACTTCATTTATCGAACAGAATTGCGTCAAATTCAAATGTATAATTTTAAATCTTTACTACAATCTTATACCATCCTTATCGCAAGATAATTATATGTTTCTAATATATTTTTAAAAATTGTATACAGATCGTATTCCATATATTACTTACTTTTATGTACGTTTTCGGCGACGGGTGCTGTAACGGCAGGAATGCTCGACGTTTTAGAGGGTCAGTTACCTTATAACATGTGGGTACCTTGGGATTGTACTTCGTTCCTTTTATTCTTGTTTACGTCCCTTCAAGAGATCGTATCTCTAATTGTTGCCACGATTGTAAACATCGCGACGGAAACTATAGTATTAGGATTTTGTTTACAATTGTGTGCACAATTTGAAATTTTGGAGCATCGTCTTCAAAGAATGGTAAAAAGCAGAGAAGAGGGAATATTTCCAAAAAGTTCATTGAATAAAGTATCGCACAAAATAAGCAAGTTGTCGATGCACATTTCCCATCATCTATGCATAATCAGGTTTGTCAAGTAATGTAAATGATAAAGTTACTTATATATATATATTTTTATTGAGTATACTAAATAATACTCGGTATATGTATGTGTGTGTGTATATATATATATATATATTGTATATACATATATTGTATATACACACAGTGTTCGGTAGAGACCGTAACAACTTAAGAATATAAGTTTCTAAGATCATTTTGAGACAAAAATCTTGATAACAGAATCTCGAGACCATAGTTTTTGAATTGTATAAGCATATATTTAAAGTTAACGAATCATATCGCTTAAAATTCGCGCTTAAAATTTAAATGTGATACAACGAAAATTTTCAATCATAAACGTGTGTGAGCTTTAGATTTTACCCTACACATAGACACAAACATACACACGAGCGCGCGCAACGTAAGTGCACACAACGTATATTAATAATTTAATTCACCAACTATGCATTTGTAATGTAATATGTTATTTGTGATATATAATATGTATAAACATTTATAGACTTGCCGGAACAATTAATGGCGTATACAGCAAAGTGATCTTTGTTCAATTTTTCGTCAGTATTTTGGTATTGTGCTCAATTGTGTACCATTTGTCTTCTCATTTGACGCTTACAGACGTCGCCACCTTAATCGTCTACACATTCAGCATGTTTGTGCAGATTTTTATTTATTGCTGGGCTGGAAACACAGTTATGCTCAAGGTAACAACTGCTATGAAGACACATACTTGAACAGAAAAAAATATTTTTTATGACAAAACAAAAACTCTACAAGGCTTCTGCAACTAGCTTTTTTTGCTTATTCCATTTATTTTAATCAATTTTATTTGCATAGAGCACTGGATTGAGCGAAATAGTGTATCACATGGATTGGATGTTGATGACAATCAGCGAACAAAAAGATCTACTAATGATTATGAAACGTTGCACAAAACCTATTAAATTTACCAGCAGTTTTTTGGTGACATTATCTCTGGAATCTTATGGCAATGTCAGTTTTTAAAGATTTATAATATTTCTTACAAGTAGGCTTAATTCCTACCAAATTTTGATTTTACTTTACAGCTTCTGAAGATGTCTTTCTCCGCATTTAATGTTCTGCAACAATTTTGAAACTTTAATCTTTTGTAATACACTATGTATACGATATCATATAATGGATAAATTGCTCATTGCAAAATACATATATTCCAATATCTATTCTATTAATGTTGGCACATGCGACTGACGTTATACGCTTTATTTTTAAGTCTAGTGATGAATTATTTATACTGCGTGTATAATATATGCATGTACGAAACACATCAGATTAGAAAATGATAAATAAAAATTGAATTAAATCAAAGTTGATCGCAATATTGCAACAATATTTTCATATAAATTTTCACAATGTCGCAGCAAAATTTTATCAACAATACAATTGTTCCTATACAGCATACTTCATCCGAAGGAACTTCGTTCTAGGAACGATCTTAGGACATCTTCTCAATGTTTTAGGAAGTCTCCTTGAATATCTGCACTGGTATAGGTTATATACATTTTAATCAACGTCTCAAAAACTCATCTTATTGTCGGTTTTTTTTTCATATATTCTCGAGATAATTGATTTCAAGTACAAAACATAATCGCTTTGAAAAAAAAAACATTTAAAGTTAAGTTCAGATTTTCAGAATTGTCAAAATATTCTCAGGATGCGTTCCGAGTTATGCATGAAGCGCATAATGTATAATTTTTATCCTTCTTTATTATTTGGTGAACAAGGACAAATGAAGCATCATGCACTTTATGCGAAACTCGGAACGCACCCTTATATTGACTTTTTTGTACTGTTTATTTCTACATATAACTTCATTCTATAAGAAATGTCTTAATGGAGAATATGTAGACTGTGTGTGTGTATATAATATATTAATTATTAATCGATATAAAATTATATTTCTTTAAGAGATAATTACATATATTAACATATTAAATATTCAAATTTGAAATTATAATGTGCAACGATTTAGTTTTATACATAAACAATGATACTTATATAAATTATTTGATTAATTCAGTTATATCAATAGAGAAAGAAAAATATTATTTCTACGTCTTACATTTCTCTGTGCGATACTTTACGTATACAAGAATTCATACAAGAATTCTTGCCAACAACCTTCGTACTTAGTAAAGAGACAAACCGCAATTATGTAGGTACAGCAAAAAATATACGTATTCTCAACTTGTAGACAAGATAATAAAGTAAGGGAAATATAATCGCTTATATTCGCTGAACCATTTCCATTACTTTTCTGACATAAATGTGAATAAACATTTTATTCGATGAGAATAGACAGTATGTTTAGATACAAGGGGTAAATGCACCCCTAGCTCATTACAAGTAAGTCGACCTTCGCATCCGTTATTACAGCTGTTATTACGCTATTCGCATAAAAGGAAAATAAGCGTGTACTATAATAACAAATTATATAGGCTCTGCGCTAATGACCGTCGCTGGCATAAGACTAAGAAGGTGAACGAATAAACCCGCGTAGTCTCATATAACACGAGTGTACAATTTTATTTGTGTAATTGAAATTTAATATTGTCTTTTCGACATTGAAACAAACTTACATCCATATTAACATCTATTAATTTTGTTGTGTTATTAAAAATGTGAAAAGCAGTATTCCGAAAAAAGTGCACGACAGATATTTATAACTTGCTTTCTCTCTCCCTCTCTCTCTCTCTCTCTCTCTCTCTCTCTCTCTCTCTTCAATTGTTAATTAATGTTACATACATCATGTTATCTACATCAGCGTATTCCAAACTTGTATAGATCGACTTACTTTTTAAAACAACAAACATTAGCGATTCATCTAGCTTTAGTAAATGCGTAAATGGCTTTGTTAATCCTTTATTAAATGTGAAAAAGTGATAAACAAGTAAATTAATTATATATGCTATAATGCGCTTTTAATTCTTTATAAAATATAATTTTATAAATTATTTCTGTATAATAATAAGATATGTGTAAAGAATGTCTTTTTCTTTTGCTCTTCTGTTGATAATAGCTTTGACGTCGATATCAATATGTGTTGTTTAGATAAAAAAAGTTTGAAAATTTTAGTTTATATCGAAATTTGATTATGATTCCACATCGTTAAAAATCCAACTTCACACATATACAAAGTCGTATAAAAAACGCGCGAGTTAGTACAATGAAATACACAAATTTTTTTTTAAAAATATTTTTTAAATATTGTGTGCTGATTGGGTAACAAAGTGTAATTTAACATTCTAAATTTTTATAAGTCGCGACCTACATTTTAGGAATCTCTGATCTATGTATTAAATAAATAATATTTATTGCCATCAAATAATCATATAATTTACAATAAATAAAAAATATAAGTTTTTTTTTCGCAATACTGCATCAACAATTTTTTTCGATATATAGAAATACCTATAGCCTTGTCGCAACATCTTAAGCTGATCGTAAAGAAAATTATATGCAAATATGCAAATGTTTTCTTTAAATTTTTTAATGTATACCATCGGTGGTGTATGGATGCCAATTGAATGGTCGTCAAACATCGCTAAGCTACTGTACAATGTGTTTACCACTGTTATACTAATTTTGTTATACTTTTTGATGATAACTCAATTCATGGATATCGTTTTTGTTGTCGATAATATCGATGATTTCGCAACAAATACTTTAATGTTCTTAACTATTGTTGCTGTTACTTGTAAAGCAACAATCGTTGTAGTACGTCGGAAGGCGATCATCAACTTGGTGCAAGTATTATTGACGGCACCTTGTAAACCTCGAAACGAGGACGAAATGACAATACAAACTAAATTTGATAAATTTATCAAGTGAGTTTTTGCCATTGTTGTAATTCTTTGGTAGCCAAAATGTTTGATCATTTGAAACGTCTATAATTTAAGCGTTTTTCTGAATCTAACCGACATTGAGTTGATTTGAGTTTGATTGAGGCTAAACAAATTATTTCTATGTCAAAAGCAATCTAATTTTTTTCCTAATGGAATTTTGTTTCTAAAATCAATTTTTAACATTTAAACGGTATTAACAAATATTATATAACACATAACTTAAATAATTTAAAATGTTACTCGTATCAAAGTATGTGTATATATTATAT